TATTTAAAGTAACGGGAACAATCTTCATTTCTCTCTTGGCAAACATGCCTCGGTATTTCAAGCCGGGTGATTTGCAATCCTCAAGACCATGGACTACGTTGAGGAAACTAGATGGAGAAGTCGGAGTTTATAGTTTTCCTTAGTGACAATTAAGCTGCGCTCAAGGTATTGACCAGCCATCTAACTACTTCCAAGCTATTTCGGCAATGCAAATCTCGACTAAATTTTGTATGTGGGAAAACACAACGAACTTACTGTTAATGAGACATCTGATCAATTGACTAGAGAAGGCTCAGACCAGGCATTCCTTGCACCGCAACCAGTCATGGGCCGCCCAACTTCGGCCTTCGTTGCCTTTGAGGTTTTGGCAGCGATGCGTTGAGAGACGAATACCTAGCTTTTCAAGCTTCGATATATTCGTAAATCCGGTAGATGTCAAAATCGATAAGTAACGCATTTCTCTGTTGCTATGTAGGTGTGCTGCGAAGGAGGTAAAAATTTAGAGAAGTTTCACTTCAGTGGTGTGGCATCCTAGGCGCAATATTTTTTGATTATTTTTGAGTCACATTTTTTGCTATTTTAATTTCCAAATAATCAGCTATCGTCACCTAGATTTCGTCATCATTGATAGGATATTCATAGTTTATATGGGTTTCGTGGCCACCATCCTTTTGCTGTGATTAAAACTAAATTTGCGTTTTGTTATACTAAAATTTAATGGGCTACCAAACTGGATACACCAAAAAATCAGATAAGATTAAAAAATTTTAATTTTAATGACATTTTCTTTTCTAATTTTTCTAAGCTCTGCATAAGGTTTGATAGTTTGATTTGTATGGTTTTGATTAAAGCATAAACCATATTTTTATGAAAAAATAACAAAAAATTTAACTTTAAAAACCTTGCAAATAAATATTTAACAAAAAATTACCGTGTACTCTATTCGGCCCAACTGTACGTAGCATATAGCAAAAAAAGTATTTTTTTATTTCCTTTAAATTTTTAAAACGAAACCACTATATGGCCCACCCTTTGATTGCACAAAAATGCTTGCAAATTTAAGGCTATTTAGCGATTCACAAGTAAATTCTTCCTTATTGTCTTAAACGAGCTCTACAACACCAAATGAAGTCTGCTGAATTCTTTCAAGTACTCGTTCTTCTTTTATTTTTCGTTATTTTTTTTTTTTTTTGAATACCTTCAAGTTGCGTTATTATTTTTCGCTTGTGGATTTCCTATGCTCGACATGTTTTCTGCGACGACTTTAGTATGCAACTCGGCGTAGAGCTTTCCAATTTACGTTAAAAATAAAACCTAATCAAACAAATAAAAAAAAAAACAAATTAATTCCATTGCTTAAATGAAACTCAAAAATTCGTAGCACTTGAATGAAATTATTTTATAATCAATGCGATCTATTTTTTTATTTTTTGATTTTATTAACTTTGTGCATTTCCTAGCACTCACTGAATACCATAGGTAGAGGTTATTTATTTATGCAGATTAACAGTAAGTATGTGAATTTTATATTTAGCAGCGTACGTACAACATACATTTCCAACAAAAAAAAAAAAAAAACAAATGAGAAAACTCTCAATTTCGGGTTGACATGCATCGAATTGCAATTATCGAGATATGCGTTGGTTGGCGCTTTCGCGGCCGATATCAATAATTAGATTCGATTTGCCACGTCACCACCATGGAGCGTGCTGCCACTCGCTGCTACCGCAGAGGTCTTTGGATTCGAGTAGCTTGCTTGTCAGCCACGTGCGGGAGTGCAACACGCTTACTTATTAGCTTGTTGATAGCGTCGTAATTCGCATACACCCACACAGCAGTGGGCAATAGTAGTATTTACATTAGGGTGGTCCAAAAAGAGTAAAGCTGGAATTTTAATGCGCTCAACGCCTAGGATTGTTCTATATCGAAAAATTTATACTCTTTTTGTTATTTTGCAATCAAAAAATATTTAGAGGTCGCTCAAAGCGCTCAAAATTTTCCATGTATTTTATAAGGGGGAGAAAAAAAAAATTTTTCGTTGAAATGATACAAAATTCTTGAAAATCAATATTTTTCGATCGGAAAAATTAGGTTCTCTGCAGGAGACTTTCAAAAGTAATAACCAATTGTTTATTTGTAACCTTTTTTAATACTAAAGATCGTTTATTGGTCCCCCCTTTGCATTTTTCGGGATTTTTGGGGGTTTTTGGTGGACCTATAAATTATAGTTAATATGAAAAAATGGTTAAATAAACAATTGAGTATTATTATTGGGAATATGCTGCAGAGAAACAGAGTTTTCCGATCGGAAATATCGATTTTTAGGAACTCTATATCACTTCTACGAAAAGTTGTTTTTTCCCATATAAAATACATGGAAAACTTTGAGCGACCTCTAAATATTTTTTGATTTCAAAGTAAAACAAAAAACAGGGGTATATTTTTTTAGGTATAGCAGAATCCTAGAGGGTGAGCGCATTAAAATTCGGACTTTACTTTTTCACATGTATTTTTGAACCACCCTAAGGTACATACATATGTACCTACTTGCCTGCGCGCTAGCGTTGCAGCGGTTTTACCCGATTTACGTGCCCAGCATTTGCTAGTAGAATTTCAAAATGTATACTTTTGGTTGATTGGCCATTGGTTGTTGGCTGGTTTCGTGTTTAGCTTCTTGAATTAACACCAACCGCCCTTCGTGTGCAAAGTGTCACTCGAATCGCTCGAAGTGAAGAGGTCATACACTCATATGAGTTGCTCACGACGAATGGTTAAAAAAAAAACACAAATTAAAATAAAAAATCTACAAAATTGAAAAACAACAAAATTTCGAGAGCACAATTTTATGCGATCCGCAACACCTGAAATGGTGGTATCGTTCGAGGTGGGGGTGGGGTGGTAATTGCGGCGTCGTCAAGTAGTACAGCACAGAGCAAATATTCAAATTTTTTGGAAACCGTCTTTCTGCTCTGCTTCGAGTCTTCTAGTCGTGGTATCAGCGCACGCTCGAGTCGCTCAATTTTTTGGGTATAAAAAGCGTCGCGATTTTGGAAAAAGTATGTCAGTTTTATTTTAATCAACCGACAGTGAGAATCTAATCAGCTTAAGCACACAATGAGTCCATTTGTTGTAAGTACTACAATTAATGGATGTGGCGATCATTGCATCCTCGATCGCATATCGCACACACCACAGGCAACGGGCACTTGGATTACGTCTGTTGGAGCGAAAAGCAGAAGCGCCGCCAAAGCAAAGGATTCTTGGATTACCAACGCAGCCAAAGCGCGCTCAAAGCTCTGCCATTCGCCCCGCCAGTCGTATTCGCAGTCCGCGTGTCCGTTCTTTCAAAGTTAAAAACGATTTTAAAAAATATCTTTCTTCTTTTCAAACTTTTAGTTTGCCGCTGTTCTGTCCACTTTGGCACTCTCCGCCAATGCTGGTATTGTTGCTGGTCCCGCGCCCCTCGCATATGCTGCCGGACCTGCTTCACCATTTGCCTACGCCGCCGCACCAGCTGCCTATGCCGCCGCCCCCTTCTACGCTCGTTATGCCGCTGCTCCAGCACCTTTGGTTGCTGCCGCTGCTCCTGCACCCATTGTGAAACCAGTTGTTGCCAGGACATTCGCCGCTGCGCCAGCACCACTTCTTGCTCCCCGCGCTTTTGCTGCTCCAGTTGCCGCACCGCTCGCTGCCGCTCCTGCTCCATTAGTTGCCGCCGCCGCTCCTGCACCACTAGCTGTCGCTTCAGATATTGTTGACCCACACCCACAGTACAGTTACGCCTACAACGTGCAGGATACTCTGACCGGTGACTCAAAGACCCAAGAGGAGACACGCGATGGTGATATCGTACGCGGCTCATACTCGCTCATCGAACCCGATGGTTCCCGTCGTATTGTCAACTACTACGCTGATTCCATCAACGGTTTCAATGCTGTCGTACAGAAGGATGTGCCGGTGGCTGCTGTTGCACCCGTCGTCGCTGCCAAGTCTGTTGCTGCCCCCATTGTAGCCGCACCAGCACCAGTTGTTGCCAAGTCCTTCGCTGCTCCAATTGTTGTCTAAGCCACACGGAAGGAAACAGGCCGGATTATTGACCATTGACCTATTGATTACCAACGTACCGACACCCTCTTGTCCAAATGTCAGCTAATTGTTGAGTTGCGATTGCCTTGCCGATTGAATGAGGAGCGCTGTGCGCGCCAAATATGGGCGGAACAAGGCAATTCAACAGGGGACATCCATTTGTAAATAAACTAGAAATACTCATTGTCTTTGTTGAAAACTTTCATCGTTAATAAAAAAATTTTGATAAACAATTAATTGGACTTATGGCTATATTAAGTTACCAAGTTCGCTGATCTTCTAGGGAAATACACCAGCTTCCTTCAAATGGAGATCTAGGCCATTTATCTATGTGCAGACTCCAGACTATGTATGGACTATAGTAACGAAAGCATAGGAGTTCTAAGTGGAAGTAACTTTAAGAGGCAAACTGGCGGTCGCAAGACTCATAGCCTCGCAAAATATGTTTGTGTGGTCGCAGCTTGGTCACATTCATCTGCTACCCTCAGATAAGCCGCTGAACTTTCTTAGGCCATGGGCTAAGCAGCTGAATCACAAAAATCTATCAAACTATCAATATGTCTACTACAAAGGCAGATCTTTGGATAAACAAATTTGTACTAATGCTATCAAAACACTAGCCTTTTGTTTTTCGTACCATCAATGATCACCGGTGGCTATCGGTAAATCCCTATTAGAAGTTGGAATAACGCCCCTTTTGGTAAAATGTATTCTTTTCGGCACAACAACTACCAAAGCGTAGATGGGACAAGTATGTATTTACCTCAAAATACGCAAAAAAAAGACCTGGAGCAGCTTAAGACCTAGTCTTAATTGCGGTGGTAAATACACTTTACGAGCTATCTAATACAAAACGTCTTAGCTCTTGTGGAAACTTCGCCGGACTTACTCCCTGCTATGCGAGCTGCTTAGAAATGGGGTAATCTCAGGAACTTGAAGGAGTGTGAGGATAACGTATTTCTGAGGGACTTCGAACCACTCAGCCTCCCCCTTTCCTATTGAAAACTCTTGAGAGACTGATTAAGCTCTACATAGCACAGGAAACAGGTTTCCTCGAGAGCGATTGAGATATTGCAGTTGGTGCCTTCCTTTATACCGGGGAGCTTTACATAAGGTATTATCCGGACTACTTAGGATTATCTGCCGCATGCTGCACAACAGAACTGTCACAGCGAAATGGAATGGCTATTTAGGAGTTGCGAAATACTAAAATAAAAAAAAATTTGTGGTTAGGAGTTCCTTTATACTAAATTAAAAAAAAATAAATAAAGAATTTAACAGTTGCTAATTACCTTGATCTAAAGTAATTAGATACCTTAGAGATTGCAAATACTCCCAATAAAGTACTAAGGTATTTAGTCAATGGCTAAATTCTTAAACACTAAATACCTTACATTGACCTCACTCAACTCATCTCAAATCAATTTATCTTAACTCACTCCACTTCAAATTACAAATAAATTTTAGTTCAGAAAATCCCGTTATTTGTATGTATTCCGAAAAATCCCAAGTATAAGCGCCAATCTATAATTAGTCCGAAAAATCCCGAACCGGTCACTACAATCGAGGAGCAGTCCCGAAAATCACGAAAATCGAGATGGAATCCCAAAGAATACTCCCAAAATTTTGGAAACAGTCCCGACAATCGAGAAGTAGTCCCAACAATCCGAAATAGTCCCGAAAATTCCGAGGTAGTCAAGAAAATCGTAAATGAATCTCGCGAAACCTGAAAATACCGAGGTGATCCCCAAACCGTCCCGAAAATCGAGAAGTAGTCCCAAAATCTCTAGTATGCCCCGAAAAAATCACCAAAATAGGGACGTATTTCCGAAGATACCGAAATTGTCCCGAGTATCACGAAGTCACGAAAATCCCGAGGTAGTCCCGAAAATCGAGAAGTAGTCCAAAAACGCCAAACCGGCCTCAAAATCTCGAAGCATCTACTTAGTCTGGAAAATCCTGAAACTATCCCGAGAATCCCGAAGTAGTCTCAAAAATCTCAAAGCAGTGCCAAAAATCCGCAAATTCTTTATTTTTAATAAAATTGTTTTTATACTGAGTTAATTGCGAGTACATATTTAATATTTAATCAAGAAGCCATAATTATTAAGTTTCTAGTATTTGGTGAAGTCAAAAGCTTTAAGTACTTTACAATGCGGTAGATAGTGAAGCCAATGTCTCTTAGTACTTTTGTACGCCGTATTTCATTAGGTGAAACTAACTACATAAATACTTTTTCGTTCCGACGACAGTCGGGTCTACGTAACCGGAACGACCCAGATTTATATCTGGCCAAGGACTGTCACTCCAGCAACACTCCCCAAAAAGTCTTTGGGGAATTTGTATGCTGCTACAACAACAACAACATAAATACTTTTATACGCGGTATTTAGTAACATGCAAAACACTTAAATAAATAGTACAAAAACAAATTCATAATAAAAATTCTCACAACAACTACTTGCAGTAATTTAGATGACGAATATTGGATGCTCGCAAATCACGAGAATGTTGCACGCATGCGCCTAAAACTCGAACCGCAATTGTATCCGAATAAGCACGAGAATGCGGCGAATTTACGCGATAATGCCACAAATGCATACGATCCAAGGTAGGGATGAGAAAGACTCATATTTAAATGTATACAATTAATACACAAAAATATTTTCTATAGAGAAATCTCGGAATTCGATTCGACCATAAAGAATGCCGTGGTGCGTGACTTCTTGGCCGACGATGAGAATTTACAACTCGAAGAAGAGCTACGGCAGTCGATTGAAGCGCAATCGCAACAGGATGTGCCACTAGAGAAATCGGTTATCTCACAGGATTGTGAACTCATCACGCTGATGACCAAAGTGAAGGGTAAAATTGAGGTTAATCAAACGCTTTTTACATTCATCGACCTGAGTCCGCCATCGGATGATGGTTCCAAGCATGATTTTCGGTGAGTTGTGCTACAAACTAATAATATAAAAAGGATGAATATTTATTAATAAATACATATATACTTTTTTAAATTTTTTTTGTCTTTTTCAGCTTCCCCATCAGCAAGATACGCGAGGTACATTTACGTAAATACAATTTGCGGCGCAGTGCTTTAGAAATATTTTTGATAGATCAAACCAGCTATTTTTTAAATTTTACCACAAAGGTGAGTTGCGCATTTTTTAATTTCACTGCACATTTTAATTGCTCTACACACTTTTCGCGCAGACACGCAACAAAGTTTTTACAAAAATTCTAAGCCTGCAGCCGCCAAACATCTTATATGGCTCTGGACGTTCGCCAGGAGAATTGTTGCGCACTTCAGGACTCACGCAGAAATGGGTTAATCGCGAGATTTCAAATTTCGAATATCTTATGTACTTGAATACAATTGCAGGTATGTTATGCGCCAAATTCTTTTATACATATTTGCGTAAACAAAAAAATTTCCTTTTACTTGACAGGTCGCTCCTACAACGACCTCAGTCAGTATCCAGTATTTCCCTGGATATTATCCGATTATACCAGTGATGTTTTGGACTTGACTGATCCAAAATCCTTTCGTGATCTCTCCAAGCCTGTCGGTGTGGTAAGTTGGGGGGGCATTTTTTCATGTGTGTGTGTGTGTGTATTGGAAATTCTTAAACAATTTCTTTCGCCTTAGATAAATCCCAAAAACGAAGCTGGCGTTCGCATCAAATATGAATCATTTGAAGATCCTTCTGGCGCCATACCGAAATTCCATTATGGCACACATTATTCGAATTCAGGTGGCGTCTTGCACTATTTGCTGCGCGTCGAACCATTTACCTCGCTACACATTGAACTACAAAGCGGTCGTTTCGATGTGGCGGATCGGCAATTTCATTCGATACCACAAACATGGAAATTGTTAATGGATAATCCGAACGATGTGAAGGAGCTGATACCGGAATTCTTTTATTTTCCTGAATTTCTGAAAAATATGAATAAGTAAGGGGCATGTTTATAATTGTGAAACACCTTTTTTGAAAGATTTTACTCAAATAATTTAATTTCAGATTCGATTTGGGTCACTTACAAATAACAAAAGAGAAAGTAGACGATGTCATACTGCCGCCTTGGGCTACCACACCCGAAGAGTTTATTGCCATCCACCGGCGTGCTTTAGAATCGGAATATGTTAGTCAAAATCTGCATCATTGGATCGACTTGATTTTTGGGTGAGTTTGCTGTACCTTCAACTATGTAATAACTTCTGCTGTTTCCTCTTCCCACAGCTACAAGCAAAAGGGGCCCAAAGCTGTCGAAGCGCTCAACGTTTTCTACTATTGCTCCTATGAAGGTGCCGTAGATCTGGATAAAATAACCAACCCGGTCGAGCGTGAGGCAGTTGAGGGTATGATCAACAACTTTGGTCAAGTGCCATCGCAATTATTGCGTGAACCACATCCGCGTCGTTTGACACAGGAGGAGACTGCGTTGAAATTGGTGCGCGCCGAGTTGAAGCGACCAGATTTGACGCAATTTCTCGATAAGGTTGTGCAATACTATTGTGAGCTATCAACACCAAAAGATCCAATTGTCTTCCTAAGCGCACCGCGTAGTCCGCCACGTTCGTTTCTACAGCTCAGCCCTGACGTGCTCGTCAGCATATCCAAATCTTGCATACTTGGTGCGAATTCATGGATGTCGTACGACAAAGAACGTGGATTTTTATTGGAAATCGATGCGACAACCACGAACTTGAAGTGGGTGTTATTATTAATTGCTGCCTTGCTACACCTAAATCTAACGTCTCTCTTTTTTTCTGTAGAAATCGTAAACGCATATTCGGTCCCTTTCATCCCTCGCAAAATCCACACTCACAATTATTCGCTGTGAGCACAGATGGCAAACTGCTGTACGCGGGTGGCATTTGGGATAATTCGCTGCGTGTATATAATTTGCACAAAGGCAAGGCGGTGGCATCAGTGACGCGGCATTTAGGTGTGTGCATAAATGTCGTTCAATGAGCGATCGATCGCTTCTCAAGCTTTTGTAAATATTTAACTGTTTGCATATTCTGCTCCTCTTCGTTAGACATTATCACCTGCCTGGCGTTGGACAATTGCGGCTCCTACTTAGTGACCGGTTCACGTGATTGCACTTGCATTGTTTGGAGCATACAGAGTCAACAGTATGGTAGCGCGCAGGCCAGCACAAACATTCCAATGCATGCACTCACAGGTCAGGCGCATTTGCAGGCGGTCACACAATTGAATACGCAAAATGTATTCTCGCCCAAACCATTGACCACTCTGTATGGTCATGACGATGCAATTTCAAGTGTAGCCATTTACACTGAATTAGATATGGTGGTTTCGGGATCGCTGGTACGCTCTAAATTTGCAATTATGTAGTTGTTTATTATGGAGATACGAAATCGTATGTTTTCTTTTATGCTTGCATTCTAGGACGGCACTGTTAATGTGTACACCATTCATAATGGCCAATTTGTGCGTACACTAAAGCCAATTGGTTGTACAGAGACTTGTGTGCAGATATCGTTTGTCACCGTTTCATATCATGGTAAGTGATGAATTACATATTTGACTTTAAATTGAGCGGCCGCTGTAACCTAGTGCTTAGAGGTGCGTACTACCATGCCGTAGAACTTGAGTTGATGCCTGATTCGAGCAACATCTGAAAATAGAAAAATATTTTTTTTGCCTAGAAAAAGCTGCTCTTAAAATCCATTTTCCCTTCAGAGGTGGCGTAAGACTTGGAGGAGAAACTCGACCAAACATCCATATTAAATTCAGACAAAAAATAATAATTTTTCGCTTAGTTTCGCGAAACTGCCTATTAGCAAAAGCGTAAGCGCCAAATATTTAAATGGAAATAATTTAAAATTTGTAATTTATTTAATGCTGTCAGTGTAGCAAAAATTTCAGCCTGAAAGTAGGCAGTATTTTTGTTTGTTGAATGTTAGCAGAGAATGTTAATTTAATGAAAAGGCGCAAATGTTAACTAACATTTTTTCAAGTACTAATTAAAAGATCTGAGATGCGGGAGTTCACCACTGAGATCAAGGGGTTCGCCAGACCAATTTTAACTACCATATTCTATGGTGAAGTGAGAACTTTGTGATATATATTTGCAAATTTACGCCGAAAACTTATATTTTTTAAAATTACACATCGATTTTTTCTTTTAAATTTCACAATGAAAATGCATATATGCTGAGAAATAAAATTGGTTTTTTGTCTAGGCTTGAATATCTCGAACTGGATTCGAATTCAGTGCAACCTCGAAAAAATTTGTATGGCCTTAAAGTCTGGACTTTTGTAGGCCCGTAATATCTACCGATTATTTTTGCTTTAATTTCTTGCCTCAATAATAGACTGAAGCCCTTCTAGATAATTCGGGGTTTTCAAGACTTGAAGATTTGCACGGAGTTTTTAATGATCTGTTCAATTTTTTACGGAACATTTTGTGTTTTGCTTTTCGGGATTTTTCGGGAACTTATTTGATTATTTCGCGAAACTTTGCCTCATACATTTGCCTTAAAAATGAAAAAAGCGAAACCTAGTCTTGGTTTTTGCTCAAAAGAAAAAAGTTATTGATTAACATTTTTTTATTTTATATTTGTTTTTGCTATTTATTATGTAAAACATACCGGATATAGTCTCAAGTTGTGAAAATGGGAAAAAACTGCCAAGGAATGCAAGAACATCTGCTGTGTCACTGCCCAGCATACAGGTGATCGGGGCTCAGCTATGTAACTTGCCTATGCTTTCTTTTCCTTACTGCAGCAAATTTCAGAACAAAAGACTAGCTAATTGTTAAAAAGTCGCTATAGAGTGCATTTTAAATAAGATTTAGAAGGTGTCGCGTCTATTCTATTGAGTTGCGTTGTGTGAGAATATACGCAAAGGTTATTAAAATCTCACATATCAGTCCCAAGGCCTTCAGGTCAATCAGTGTTTTTGCTTAAATTCCTAAAGAAGCAGATTGATCGACATATTAGTAACAGGAGTCCATGCGATCACCTGTTCGGAGTTCAACATGCGTTTGCCACACTTGCCGCTCAATACGAATTGCCCTTCCTCTTGTGGTGCTCTGAGCACGATAAAACTTATTTAGTCTTTTTTTCGCTTCTAAACGTATCATCAACATCGTTAAAACTCTAACATTGAGGCATATCAATTCTTTGTTTGATAATTACATATTGCATTATTTGAATTTTATTTATATTATAATATTAATGCGCATAAAGCTTTGTATAAACTAGTACTAGTTTTCGTATGTAAATCCATTGCGTTATCCGTAATCTTTTTAGCGCTAATCAGCATCAAGACCATACATACTACATACACGCATACAATATATGTATGCTCTAAAGTCCGTGAACGTTTGTAATTAACATACATACATATCTCTACTAAACTATTTAGTCAATGACCTAAGCCAACAAATTCAAAGATTGCCACAATTTACATTGCTTTTGAAAGCATGAGAACACTTATCATATCAGACTAGCTAAGCTAACGAATATGCGATTAAATAATGACGGTGCACATTTTTCCACCTACATACATACATATGTACATATGCTTGTATGTAAATATATGCATATGTATGTAAATTTATGTGCATAAGGCCGTTAGAACAAATATGTAGGTTCTGTACCGTATATACTTATTTAACTTTGTATGTACATATTTACATACATATGTATGTACATGCTAATATGTATCACGTGATTGAATTATCTCGTGAAAAGAGCACTTCTGTGTACACTTTATAAAAACTTATGTATGTGCACTCAAATGTTTATACTGTACATATACTGTACTTTTGTTCATACAAACTCATCCATACATACATATGTATGTATTGTTTGTGCTGTATCAACAGTCTAGATCAGACGGAACTACTATAACATTTGGAAATCAAATTAGAAAAACTAAAAATGTATGTTTGTATGCATATGTGCATTAATATATTAATGTATACTAGGAGTACTAGTTACTGTCAAAATTCGACCTGCTTTCTGGTGTTAAGGCGGCTACAATATCCAGACCGTAACTGAGCCAGGGTACGCGGGTCTTCTGCAGGTGGGGTGATTGGGCTCCGATCACGGCATTCATAGGTCGGGAGTCGAGGTAGATGGTGACCGACTCCCTAGGAATATCGTTAATCGCTCGTCTGTATGTCGTCGGGTCCAGTGGTTGGTCAACGTATTTCTGGACTGCGTCCTTGTACACGAATAGGTGCCCCC